GGGGGGGGGAGAGGAGGAGAGGAAAAAGAACGTTTTGGTCCCCCGACACGGCGCGGAAAGCGTATCGTCAGGTAGACACGTATTAAAATCGCATATTAACTCTGTCATTTCCTCATTTAAAAGCGAAGAGAGGTATAAACCGGTAGGATCCAGGAGAGAGGATCCAGGTATAAGATGAAAAGTGGAAAGAGCGGCGGAAAGAGAGAAGGAGATACACAGAGAGAGAGAGAGAGAGAAAGAGAGGTTGGAGGACCGAAGCGTTCCACCTCGAGCATGGTGGAAGAGACGAAGGTAAGGATGGGAGTTAAAGGGGACATAGAAGGACCACACGCACGCGCCGCCCACAGATACGCTATCACTTGGCTACAACCAACGTGATCTGCATGCGCATGTCCTCTCTTCGTCACGAACTGGAGAAAAGAAGAAAAGAAAGAAAGAAAAGAAAAAGGAAGAAAAAAAGAAGGGTGGAGGAAGGAAAGAAGAAAGCGAAGGGATGAGAGAAAGGGAGAAGAGGATACCTGCCCTCTATCTCTCTCTCTCTCTCTCTCTCTCTCTCTCTTTCTCCTTTCTTCCTTTTTCTTTTTTTTCTTCCGTTTCACCCCCTTGGCTCACCTTCGCTGATTTAAGGGGTTGGCAGAGCGTCGATAACACGTCTGGTCAATCCTACTCTTCGTTCGTACGGAATCTCTTCTTCTTCTTCTTTTCTTCTTCTTCTTTGTCTTGCTCTTCTTTTTTCTTCTTTACTGTCGTCGATGGTTCTTCCACTTGGAGCTTAGCGGAACACGTAGTTCCCTGCGTATGGGTATCTTTACACGCGTGCCTCGAAGAAGAGACGATTGGGTTACTCTCCTCTTCCTCCTCCTCCTCCTCCTCCTCCTCTTCGATACCGATGTCACGATCGTTTTGCGACTGGTGGCCTGTTTGACCCGCGACGTCAATGGTGAATCTTTGGATGCCTGTTGAATTTGTTAATTTCGAAGGCATTGAAGTTATTGGTTGCGAGTTGAAATCCTTTTTACTGATTCTTCGGTAATTTTTTTTATAATAATAAAATTCTCAAACTTGAGATGAAAATAGATAATAAACAGCCCAGTTTGAATTGAAAAATATTTTTTCACAAAAAAAAAATTGTATCTATTGCACATTCTATTTTTCACAAAAAAAAAAAAAAGAATCCTCAAAATCGTCGGAGAACTATATAACAATTCGTATCGTGGATATCAAATCCATCGTATCCGGATTAAAACCGAATTAATTTCACCGCTATAACTGTCAAGAAATTATGTAAATTCGTCTTACAAGACTGGGACACGAGGTTTCACTCGTTCCTTCTTTTTTCTTTTCCCTTTTCTTTTCTTATTTTTGATCCGGATCGAAATTCCTCGAGTTTTCAAGTTCGAGAACGAACTCCTAGTCGGAGCGGTCTGTTGGAAGAAGAAGTGGAAGTCGACCGGTCGTGCGAGATTCTCCTTATCGACGCGAGCTGTCCCGTGTTCGGGCCCGTTCCCGGGGCCCCGAAATAGCGTATTCGGGGCCCACCTCGTGCCTTTCCAGCACCTACCTTCGAAAAAGAAACGTAACCCTAGACGTATCGCGGTGTCATGTCCCGCGCACCTGGCGGCCTCGTTCTTTGTAACACGATACACGCGTTTCTTCTTCTTGTTCTTCTTCTTCTTCTTCTTCTTCGTCGTCGTCCTCTCCGCTGCTTCTTCTTCTTCTTCTTCTTTAACTAATACTATTATTTCTCCTTTCACTTTGTTGCTGCCTTTCTGTTTTAAGATAGATGCTATTTCTTCTTTCAATTTGTTGCTGCTTTT